GCCCGGCTGATTTTTGTATTTTTGGTAGAGACGGGGTTTCACCATGTTGGCCAGGCTGGTCTTGAACTCCTGACCTCGCCATCCACCCGCCTCGGCCTCCCAAAGTGCCGGGATTACAGACATTTGCCACCGCGCCTGGTCTCGAGAATCAGTATTTATACATACGCTTGTGTCTTTCAGGCTTCTGGGAACTTGGCAGAGGCAGATTAGAAATACTCACCAGCGAGCATCATTGTTGTCTTTCTGGGAACTCATTCCCATGAGGTAAAACTCAACCGCGGGCCTGACTTCTGGGGGTATAGGTGTCATTCGATGTGTAGAGAACAAAGCTAGACTGCTGGATGTGTGGTTTGCAAAATTAACAGCCTACAAAGTTTCTCAGTTCTGTCTTTCCAACATTTTCCATACCATAGGTTGCTGTTTGTAATTTTTAAAATTTAAGCAGTTTAAATAAGTATTCTCCTGGAAGGGATTCTTGTGTGTTTTAAAGGACACAGCTTAAGTTTCTCTTTCTCCATGAGCCTTCCTCTTCCCTGCCCATTCTGAGGCCCTGGAGAGTGTGGGGAAGATGCAAGTATTAAAGGTATTTCCATCTGGCACTCTTGACTCTTTCTAGTCAATCTTGATTCAGTCAATCTTGATGGTAAAGGATTTGATTCTTCCTTTTTTTTTTTTTTTTTGAGATGGAGTCTCACTGTGTCACCCAGGCTGGTGTGACCTTGTGATCACTGCAGTGATGTGACCTTGGATCACTGTAACCTCCGCCTCCTGGGTTCAATGCCATTCTCCTGCCTCAGCCTCCCAACTAGCTGGGATTACAGGTGCCAATCACCACGCCCGGCTAATTTTTGTATTTCTAGTAGAGATGGGGTTTTACCATGTTGGTCAGGCTGGTCTCGAACTCCTGACCTCAGGTGATCCACCCACCTCAGCCTCCCAAAGTGCTGGGATTACAGGCCAGCCCACACCTGGCCCAGAAATCAATTTTAATAGTAATGAGCTCCTAATGCAACAGTTTGGTATTTTCACTTTTGAATGTAATCCCAAGGCACACCTGAATCCCAGCAGTAAAGAGGAACACTTCCCCTGATTTTATACTCTGATGTCCCTTGTTGCTTTTGTACTTTTTTTTTTGAGACAGAGTCTCGCTCTGTTACCCAAGCTGGAGTGCAGTGGCACAATCTCGTCCCACTGCAACCTCTGCCTCCCAGGCTCAAGTGATTCTCCTGCCTCAGCTTCCTGAGAAGCTGGGATTATAGGTGTGCACCACCACACCTGGCTCATTTTTGTATTTTTAGTAGGGACAGGGTTTCGCCATGTTGGCTAGGCTGGTCTTGAACTCCTGACCTTGGGCAATCTGCCCACCTTTGCCTCCCAAAGTGCTAGGATTACAGGCGTGAGCCACTGCACCCAGCTGCTTTTGTACTGTTTCTTGTAATTGATGGCACCCACACAGTTCTCACAAGTACTCTGGGGTGGAGTACCTCCTCACCATGCTGAGCTCACGAGTCAGTTATGCACAGCCCCTTCCCCCAGTGGAGAGGTCAATTTGGGGTACTTACCATTTTGTCTCTCCGTAGGTTCATGAGACTGAAGAGGAAAATGTTTAATATTTGCTTTATCTATTAGATCAGAACCTCTTCGAAAGAAGAAGAAGGTAGATCCTAAAAAAGACCAAGCAGCAAAGGAGCGCTTGAAAAGAAGGATCCGAAAACTGGAAAAGGCTAGTCAAGAGCTAATTCCTATTGAAGATTTTATTACCCCTCTAAAGTTCTTGGATAAAGCAAGGTAAGGATCCTTCTCTAGGGATGAAGTCCTCAGCACAAAGGAGTTCTATCAACTTCAGGTAGTGGTGTCTGTAGTTCACACCTGTGATAGTAATTGGTCAGTAGGCTTGAGCTGACTTGGCCCTAATGAGTCCTTGCTTCTTTTGGGAGCAGGAGAAAGCATCCTTGGGTGGTACTCTTGAGTGGCTCTGGGTGGGAAAGAACTTAAGATATCTAATAATCCAGATGCTTAAGCACTGCTCTGGAGTTCATGTTTTTGCTGTCATGCATGAGGAGTCTTGGCTGTTTCTGATCCTTTGGGCCTGGAGTC